GGCTACCCCTCCGCCGGGTGTTCTTTCTTCACCTTGGCGGCTCCGTGAGCCTGAAGCCTGGCTGCCCTGCCCTCGGGTGATGGCCGACGTCCCAGCCCCCGGCCCTCCCCACGGCCTGCCTGCGCCTCGCAGTGGGGCCGCCGGCCTGGTCCCTGCCCCAGGGCTGATGGGGGGGGCCGTGGGCGGGCCCACCCTGCTGCAAGACACCAGCCTGCCTGAGTGCCAGGGCGCTGGGCCTGGGTGCCCGCGTGGGGTCGGCGTCTCCCCTGAACTGACTCCGTAGAGGCCAGTCGTGGGGGAAGCAGGAGCCGGATGGCCGCTGGCGTGGCTTTACCGCCTCAGTGTCTCCGTGTGGGGACGCCCCGGAGTCCGTGGGCCTGGGGGTCCCGGCGAGGGCTGCGCGCTGCTGGGCTGGGGGGTCGCAGCCGGCACCGACAGCGCCCGCCTCGTGCCTCTGCAGACGGGAGAGGAGGGGCTCTGGAAAGCCCCGCAACCGCTCGCCTCCGTCTGGCCGGACCTGGCCGTGCCCCAGCGGCGCCCGGGGCGCCGCTGTCCCCGTCTGCTCTCAGCCCGGAGCTCGGGGGACGCCCCTCCATCGGGGCACACGGGGATCTGGGCAGATCCCCCCAGGCCTCCCCTCCCCAGCCGGCGTCAGGGTTTGAGCTGGGCCAGAGCTGGGCTGGGCCCGGGCCCTGGAACTCGGGCAGGGGCTTCCATGGCCACAGGGGCGGCCGCGAGCCCCGCCCGTTGCCTCCGCCCGAGTGCCCACTTGCCGGTCCCCTCTGTTTCCGGGCCCGAGCCCAGGTCCCGCTCGCCACTCCTGCCCCTGTGTGGGCTCTGGGGCCTCCCAGGGGCCGCTGACCAGCTCTCGGCGTCCCTGACTGCCCGCCCTTCCGGTTTCTGAAGGTGCAGCCGGGCGGGGGCACCCACTGAGCCTCGGGCCCCCCGGCAGGGGCGGGGGCGCCCACCAGGAGTGACTGGTCTTACGTGGCCGCGATTCACCTGCCTTGTGGCTGACGACCAGGAGCCTTGTGCCCCACAGGGGCCAGCCGTTTGTGAGGCAAGTGACCGCGGGCCCTCAGCCGCCCGGCCACGCGCTCCTCCAGCG